GGGACATTATATAATAGTAATATTCCTGTCCAACAGGAAAATATCACAATCCTAAACATATATGTACCTAACACTGAAGCTCCCAAATTTATAAAACAATTACTAATAGATCTAAGAAATGTGATAGGCAGCAACATAATAATAGTGGGGGACTTCAATACTCCACTGACAGCCCTAGAGATATCATCAAGACAGAAAGTCAACAAAGAAACAATGGATTTAAACTATACCTTGGAACAAATGGACTTAACAGATATATACAGGACATTTCATCTAACAACCTCAGAATACACATTCTATTCAGTAGCACATGGAACTTTCTTCAAGATAGACCACATGATAGGCCATTAAGCAATAAATGTAAGAAAATTGAAATTATATCAGGCACTCTCTCAGACCACAGTGGAATAAAACTGAAAATTAACTTCAAAAGGAACCTTCAAAACAATGCAAATACATGGAAATTAAATAATCGACTCCTGAAGGAGCATTGTGTCAAAAATGAAATCAAGATGGAATTTTTTTTGTTTGTTTTTTTTGAGACAAAGCCTCACTCTGTTGCCCAGGCTGGAGTGCAGTAGAGTGATCTCGGCTCACTGCAAGCTCCGCCTCCCAGGTTCATGCCATTCTCCTGCCTCGGCCTCCTGAGTAGCTGGGACTACAGGTGCCCGCCACGATGCCCAGCTAATTTTTTGTATTTTTAGTAGAGATGGGGTTTCACTGTGTTAACTAGGATGGTCTTGATCTCCTGATTTCGTGATCCCCCTGCCTCGGTCTCCCCAAGTGCTGAGATTACAGGCATGAGCCACTGCGGCCAGCCTCAAGATGTAAATTAAAAAATTATTTGAACTGAACAACAATAATGGCACAACCTACCAAAATCTCTGGGATATAGCAAAGACAGAGCTAAGAGGAAAGTTCATAGCCCTAAACGCCTACAGAAAAAAGACTGAAAGAGCACAAACTGACATTATAAGGTCACACCTCAAGAAATTAGTGAAACAAGAACAAACCAAACCCAAACCCAGCAGAAGAAAGGAAATAACCAAGATCAGAGAAGAGCTAAATGAAATTGAAACAAAAAGCAATACAAAAGATAAATGAAACAAAAACCTGGTTCTTTGAAAAGGTAAATAAAATTCGTAGACCATTAGCAAGATTAACCAAGACAAGAAGAAAGAAAATGCAAATAACCTCACTAAGAAATGAAACACGAGATATTACAACTGATGCCATTGAAATACAGAAGATCATTCAAGACTACTATGAGCACCTTTACACACATAAATAGAAAACCTAGAAGAGATGGATAAATTCCTGGAAAAATACAAACCTCCTAGCTTAAATCAGGAAGAATTAGATACCCTCAATAGACCAATAACAAGCAGCAAGATTGAAATGGTAATTAAAAAATTACTGGCTGGGTGCAGTGGCTCACACCTGTGATCCCAACACTTTGGGAGGCCGAGGTGGGCAGATCAAAAGGTCAGGAGATCAAGACCATCCTGGCAAACACAGTGAAACCCTGTCTCTACGAAAAATACAAAAAAAAAAAAAAAATTAGACAGGTGTGGTGGCGGGCGCCTGTAGTCCCAGCTTCTAGGGAGGCTGAGGCAGGAGAATGGCGTTAACCCAGGAGGCGGCAGAGCTTGCAGTGAGTGGAGATCACGCCACTGCACACCAGCCTGGGGGACAGAGCGAGACTCCGTCTCAGAAAAAAAAAAAAAAAATTACCACCACCAACAAAAAAAGTCCAGGACCAGACAGATTCACAGCAGAATTCTACCAGACATTCAAAGAAGAATTGGTACCAATCCTTTTGACACTATTCCACAAGACAGAGAAAGAAGGAATCCTCCAGAATTCATTCTATGAAGCCAGCATCACCCTAATACCACAAGCAGAAAAGGGCATAACCGAAAAAGAAAACTACAGACCAATATCCTTGATGAACATAGATGCTAAAATCCTTAACAAAATACTAGCTAACTGAATCCAATAACATATCAAAAATACAATGCACTGTAATCCAAGTGGGTTTCATACCAGGGATGCAGGGATGTTTTAACATACAGAAGTCAATAAATATGATACAGAATTAAAAACAAAAATCGCATGATCATCTCAATAGATGCAGAAAAAGCATACATAATACTGAGTGGGGAAAAGTTGAAAGCATTCTCTCTGAGAACTGGAACAAGACAAAGATGCCCACTGTCATCACTCCTCTTCAACATAGTACTGGAAGTCCTAGCCAGAGCAATCAGACAACAGAAAGAAATAAAGGGCATCCAAATCAATAAAGAGGAAGTCAAATTGTCAGTATCTGCTGACGATATGATTGTTTACCTTGAAAACCCTAAAGACTCCTCCAGAAAGCTCCTAGAACTGATAAAATAATTTAGCAAAGTTTCCAGATACAAGATTAATGTACACAAATCAGTAGCTCTTCTATACACCGACAGTGACCAAGCAGAGAATCAAATCAAGAACTCAACCCCTTTTACAATAGCTGCAAAAAATTAAAATACTTAGGAATATACCTAACCAAGGAGTTGAAAGAACTCTACAAGGAAAACTACAAAACACTGCTGAAAGAAATCAAAGACAATACAAAAAAATAGAAACACATCTCATGCTCATGAATAGGTAGAATCAATGTTGTGAAAATGAACATATTGCCAAAAGCAATCTACAAATTCAATGTAATCCCCCTCGAAATACCATCATCGTTCTTCACAGAATTACAAAAAACAATTCTAAAATGCATATGGTACCAAAAAAAAAGCCTGCATAACCAAAGCAAGACTAAGCAAAAAGAACAAATCTGGAGGCATCACATTACCCAACTTCAAACTATACTATAAGGCCACAGTCACCAAATCAGCATGATACTTGTATAAAAATAGGCACATAGACGAATGGAAAAGAATAGAGAGCCCAGAAATAATCCCAAATACTTACAACCAACTGATCTTTGACAAAGCATACAAAAACATAAAGTGGGGAAAGGACATCCTTTTCAACAAATGATGCTGGGATAATTGACTAGCCACATGTAGGAGAATGAAACTGGATCCTCATCTCTCACTTCATACAAAAATCAACTCAAGATGGATTAAGGACTTAAACCTAAGACCTGAAACTATAAAATTTCTAGAAGATAACATTGGAAAAAACCCTTCAGACATTGGCTTAGGCAAGGATTTCCTAACGAAGAACCCAAAAGCAAATGCAATAAAAACAAAGATAAATAGCTGGGACCTAATTAAACTAAAGAGCTTTTGCACTGCAAAAGGAACAGTAAACAGACAACCCACAGAGTGGGAGAAAATGTTCACAATCTATACACCTCCCAAAGGACTAATATCCAGAATCTACAACTAACTCAAACAAGTCAGCAAGAAAAAAAAAATTCCATCAAAAAGTGGGCTAAGGACATGAACACACAATTCTCAAAAGAATATACAGAAAAGGCCAACAAACATATGAAAAACTGCTCAACATCACTTACGATCAGGGAAATGCAAATCAAAACCACAATATGATATCACCTTACTCCTGCAAGACTGGCCATAATAAAAAAAAATAAAAAAAAATAATAGATGTTGGCATGCATGAGGTGAACAGGGGACACTTCTACACTGCTGGTGGGAATGTAAACTAGTACAACCACTATGGAAAACAGTGTGGAGATTCCTTAAAGAACTAAAAGTAGAACTACCGTTTGATCTAGCAATCCCACTACTGGGTACCTAAGCAGAGGAAAATAAGTCATTATACAAAAAAGAAACTTGCACATACATGTTTATAGCAGCACAATTCACAACTGCAAAATTATGGAACTAACCCAAATGCCCATCAATCAACAAGTGGATTAAAAAACTGTGGTATATATATGATGGAATACTACTCAACCATAAAAAGGAATGAATTAACAGCATTTGCAGTGACATGGAGGAGATTGGAGATTATTACTCTAAGTGAAATAACTTGGGAATGAAAAACCAAACATTGTATGCTGTCACTGATATGTGGGAGCTAAGCTATGGGGACACAAAGGCGTAAGAATGATACAATGAACTTTGGGGACTTGGGGAGAAGAGTCGGAGAGAGGTAAGGGAAAAAAGACTACAGATATGGTGCAGTGTATACTGCTCGGGTGGTGGGTGCACCAAAATCTCACAAATAACTACCAAAGAACTTACTTATGTAACCAAATACCACCTGTACCCCAATAATTTATGGAAACATAAAAAAATTAAAAAATTAAAATAAATTAAAAATAAAAATATTACCCTGATTAAATAAAAAAAGAATATCTTCAACTGATGAGCCATTGCCTCGTGGTCTCAGTGTGCTGAGGTTTCTTCTTATTCCTTTAACTGAGAGCTGAATCCCTCATGCCAGTTCACCATAGGACTCTCTGATGGAGAGGAGCAAGGAAGACTTGGAGTTGATAAAGCAGTGGCTATGTCCATTTCAGCTGTTACCCAATCAACCCTCCTTTCATAATCTTCTGAGAAACAAAATTCCTCTAGCTTCACTGGATACTTTGAAGTAAATGTTCTATTTTCCAGATTATTTGGGATATCAAAATTTAAACAGACCTTGAAAAGCAGTAGCAAAATGAATAAATCCAAAAGAATAGCATTTAAACTACACATCTCAAGATGCTATACATTTATGTGAATAGTGCAAAAAATATTGTGTAAAACCTCTGTTAGAATTAGCTAGTCTTGTTTTTTTGTTTTTGACCATCAAAAGACCTAGTGCTAAATGACTATTTTTGTGTCTGAAAATCAAATTTATCCCCAAATAATGAAAATATGATCATTTTCCAAAGAATAAAGTTTCAGAACAATGTATATGGTAAGATCCCATTTTGTAAAAACAAATGCAAATACATTCAAGACACATTATTTTCCCATTTCAATGTAAAGGTGTTTTTCAAACCCAAAAAAACTATGATTAAAATGGCAGTTCATCATATAATCACTGACATCTTAAAAATGAAAAATATTATAGATAATCTCAATGTTCCCAAGTACAGATGTAGTTACTGTACTGCCCAATCTCACTTTATAAAAAAGGCTGGTTAAGGTAATTTCATAAAATACAGAAATTCATAAATACCATTGCTGTCTTTCCTCTTTCTGAAATTTCGCACATATTATTCCTCTACCAGTTTACCTGAAATACTTGCCACTTCCCCTACCCACACCCCACTATTTACCTGCTAACTTTCATTTCTAAGGCAGTGTTCCTTAGACTAACTTAGATTCTCCCACTATGTACTCCCTTAGCACCCTTTACTTCCCCTCCTCAACACTCCTCATACATCATATGTACTTGTTTATGTCAAAATGTACACTCCATGAGGGCAGGGACAAAATGTGTCTTGTCCTCAGCTTTAGCCAGAGTGTTTATCAAGGTGCCAGGATATGGAAGACATTCAATAAATATTCATTAGCTAAATGATTGAATGATTGATTGAACAAAGGTGGTTGAAAACACTGGCCTAATTCCTGGTCAAACAGCAGGTTGTCAATAAATATGCATTGAGAGAAGAAAGCAATGGAGAAATGGAGACTGACAATCAGAGTTGTGCTGAGATAGAAAGGAATGAAGATAATGCACTCAACTGGATAACCCCCACCTTCTCAGAGAAGTAGAGCCTTCAGAAAATACCAAGGTAAATGACAAGCAACAAAAACAAATCATATGCAAACAAATGCTGATTTTTTTCAGATGTATTATGTTTTCTTCCACTCCTTCATTATTTTATGCATGCTTGATTTATCTGTATTTAAAACTCTATCAGTTCCACCACTTTTTAATATATGACTATATTAAATCAAGGAATAAAGGGCACTAATGTTTTATTGTTTTAAGATAAAACCTATTTTATGCATTAATCCTGTGAAAGATGAGCCAAGAGAGTATGGGAATAGGTAATTGTCATTCTTCATTTGTGATTTGTTTGTCTGTGCATCTTTGTGTTTATGTGTTCTGTACGTATTTGTATGATTTTTTGGTGAAAATAGCTACCTCATTGGGTTTGAGTGGATAATGTTATGCACATTTTAAGCGTAACATCAAAATTCCATCTTTTTTTCCCTTAAAATTCTTGAGTTGCCAAGGTTTTCTCTGATAATTTTCTGATATTTTCCCTACCATCACAGAGGGATGATTTCTTTATCCCTAACTCAGAAAAAGCATTAGGCCTAGCCTTGAAATGAAGGTTTTCATAATATTTAATCTTTTTTTTCTTCCTTTTGCTGCAACTTAAGTCCCATTATCCCTAGTCCTGTCCTTGTTGACTAATGAGGATAATTGGTCCCTTTCCTCCTGGAAACATTCTTTTATGTATTTTGGAGAGTTATTATGGCCCTTTTCAGTTCTCTCTTCTCTAGGCAGAACAGGCCTGATTCTCTTAACCTTTCCTCACAGAGCTGATTTTCCAAACCTTTGATCATTTTTGTTCTTCCCCTCTGAACTCTCTCCAATTTGTCTGTCTGTTTCAAAACGTGGTGACCAGGAGAAAATTCAGTCCTTCAACTGAATCTTAACCAATATAGTATTAACCTGGCCAATGCTTAGTGGATATGGAATAGAATCTTAAATATTATTTATCTAAATTCGGATATGTAAATTCCCTTTATTTAAAACATAATAGAAACTAGGAATTTTATTTTGGCACTCAGTATTCCTTAGATAATTCACGATAGCGTACTATTGATTTGAAAAGCATGGAGCTGTCAAACAATAGTGAACAGAACTTGAGTTACAGATCTAGAATAACATTTTTGGAGTAGATAGTAGATGATCTTCCTAAAGGAAGAGAAATAGAGCTTTTCAAGTACAAAGAGATTTCCACACTATTTTGTCATTTTGCTCTGTTGTATAGTATCTAATGTTTGTAAAATAATTTATTCTATGTTGCTGTTCCCTTGAAAATATTCTGGGAATACATTTTTACAACAACTCAAGTTGGTCTAAGGCTTATGTATTGTTTCGTATCTCAGCTTAACATTATACTAACAGTTACTAAAAACTAAAGTCCACCAACTAGTTGGACAAGAAGAGATAGAGTTGTTCCACTGAAACTTGAGAGATTAAGGAATGGTTTAGATGAGGATTTGTTTTACATATGTTACATCATTTAAAAACTATGGTCCAGGCACGGTGGCTCACGCCTGTAATCCTAGCACTTCGGGAGGCCGAGGTGGGTGGATCACCTGAGGTCAGGAGTTCAAAACCAGCCTGGCCAACATGGCGAAACCCCATCTCTACTAAAAATGTAAAAATTAGCCAGGTGTGGTAGTGGAGCCGCCTATAATCCCAGCTACTCAGGAGGCTAAGGCAGGAGAATTGCTTGAACCTGTGGAGTAGAGGTTGCAACAAGCCGAGATGGCACCATTACACTGCAGCCTGGGTGAAAGAGCAAAACTCCATCTCAAAAAACAGCAACAGCAGCAACAAACAAACAAAATAAAACCACCATGGAAAATACAAAAAGACATATAAGATATCAACCCTTGCTTTGGCAGAGTTTTAAAACTTGCAGATGAGACAAGACCAAGAAGCATGAAACACTAGTGAAGCCATTTAATGCTTCACTTTGTGGTACTAAGGGCAAATGAAATGGAAATTCAGAGAAATGAGAGGTCACCATAGGCTTGAGGAATAATGAAGATATGGCTTTGTGGGAGGGATGAACTTAAAATGAGCTTTGAAAAATAGGTATCAGAGAAGAAAGGGAGCAAAAAAGGAGGAAAAAATGCAAGAAAAGAGAAAGGACTATGATGGATCCAGAGAAAAGAAAAGAAACTAACTTGGCTTGAGTAGAGAAGTGAGGAATTGTGAGAAATAAGTACAGTGGGTGATTCTTATGAGTGGTTTGAAAGCCAGACAGGCACGTATGAATTCAATGTGGTGGGCCGCTGGGGACAACTGAAGCATTGACGAGAGTTACTATTTGGGGAGATTAGTCTGGTGGCAGCCTTCTGTGTGATGAAGTAGAGGGGCAGGACGCAGCAACTCTGAGCATTCTACCCATGACCAAGGTCTTCGGGCTGTTGGACTTCTTTTGTCTTTTTAAAAAATATTTGGGCCCGATTATTCTCCTTTTGCTATATTGCAAAGTGACTTCCATACAAATCAAAGAAAGACTCCGTTAAACATTTCAGTCCTGATCTATCAATACTTGTATTTGAAACAACTTAGAGACCCAGAAAGACCATTTAAGGGTAGATATTAGCAGAGATTCAATTTTAAAGGCTTAACTCTGATATCACTCTTTTTTGGGAAAGGTTTGGGGAGGAAGAGAGGTGAGGAGATGCAGTTAGTGTGACCACTAGATGTCACCGTTGCTAGGTTGCCTCAAGGTTAGATGCACAGTATTCAGTGGGCTTACAATGAACTTTTTCAGTTCAGGAGAAAAATTTAAAATCTCTAATACTTGCAGCCAAAATGCTTCCCAACTCAGCTCTCCTCCACATCCAATTTCTGCCTGGGAGGCAAATTCAAGCTACTCACCTGAGGGTATGTTGTAATTTCTAAAATAAGCAGGCTGCTATTTTTGCATTTTTGCTTCTTAATACAGCTTCCCTCGTTAGCACTGGGTTTTCTGAGGTACTGTATGCAGGGCTGTGCTATTGCTTGTTTTTTCTTTTTTTTGAGACGGAGTCTTGCTCTGTCGCCCAGACTGGAGTGCAGTGGCACGATCTTGGCCCACTGCAAGCTTCACCTCCCAGGTTCATGCCATTCTCCTGCCTCAGCCTCCCGAGTAGCTGGAACTACAGGCGCCCATCACCATGCCCGGCTAAGTTTTTGTATTTTTAGTAGAGACGGGGTTTCACCATCTTAGCCAGGATGGTCTCCATCTCCTGACCTCAGGATCCGCCCACCTTGGCCTCCCAGAGTGCTGGTATTACAGGCGTGAGCCACCGCGCCCGGCCGTATTGCTTCTTAAGCGGTAAACTTAAGCCATAATGATGTGATGGATTTGTTCTTTTTCAAGTGATTTTAGAAATGTTTTAATCATTTAATATCTGACCTGGAGTGTTCGATTTAGTTGCATATGTCACAGATTTACTGTGACAGCAGAACTCCAGAGTTCTTTGTTCACTGTTTTAGAATGTAGCTTTTAATATAGTGGATTATTGGAAGCCCAAAGCACGCTTTCTTATGTGTTTACACAGTCCTAAATACCATGCCATTAAATATATTTTGGATATTTTAACTATTTTAGATGTTTAGGCTGTAACTTATGATCTGAACATCGCATCCTATAACAACATGTTTTGTGTACATAATAGAGGCTCTTAAGTAGCACTGTACCTATGCTTTGTAAATACTTGCTACATAAAATACCTTTAAAATATTTAATGACCATCTTCTATAGTAACTGAGCTGTATTTAACCAAAATTCCTGGAGTTTCTTTCTACCCCACAAAGATACTATTTAAATTAAGATGGTCAGAAGCTAACTACACACTAAAATGTAAGCAAGAATTCTTTAAGCCTGCAATCTTAAGCATCTGGATTTTTTTTTCCATCTCCTGCTTTCTTGGGGTAACAGAAGCATTGGAGTTCTTATTTCTATCACTGCTGGTAACGTTATAAAAGAAAGATGAGGATGTAACAAACTACTATTTTATTGAATTAAGGCAATTAAAGAAAAAGATGCATTATCGCCCTTCAAACTTGTGTAAGTGGGTACAGTTATTTTATTAGAAATAATTTTTGTGATGCTTCCAAGCCTGATTTTTTTTCCCCAAACTTTGGGAGACATACATGAGCAGGTTTCCATGTGATACTTTTCTCCCAGACCTCTGCATCCCTAGAGAACTGCTTAGTGACTTCCTCAACCAGAATCTTAAGAGCACAAAATCAGTGAGACTCATCTCACACCATAATTTCAGAACATCAGGCATTATAGATTCAGGGCAATGTAGGGAACTGAAAAGATTTTGAGGGCAAAGACCTTCAAAATCCCAGACAGGATGTGCTGGTCCAGCAGCGTGCAAACAGCCAGCTTTGTGAGGACACTGGATCTACAAAAGGAGAATGCTCTTCTTTCTCTTCTCATAGCCTCTAAAGAAAGCTTTCTTTTCTGTCTACCTAACTCATCACAAGGGAGAGATCTTGGCTGACAGATTCTCTGAGCAGCATCCATGCAACTTGAAATTAAATGACCACAAAACTTTACCTCTGTTTACATACCAAGAAGATATGAAAAAGTATATCATTAATTAATTAATTAATTTTTATTTTACTTTAAGTTCCGGGATACATGTGCAGAACGTGCAGGTTTGTTTCACAGGTATACGTACGCCACGGTGGTTTGCTGCATCTGTTGACCCTCATGTAATTTCCCTCCCATCACCCCCCATCCCCCACAGGTGTGTGCTGTTTCCCTCCTTATGTCCATGTGTTCTCATTGTTCATCTCCCACTTATGAGCGAGCACATGTGGTGTCTGTTTTCTGTTCCTGTGTTAGTTTGCTGAGGATGATGGTTTCCAGCTTTATTCATGTCTCTGGACAAGATCTCATTCCTTTTTATGGCTGCATAGTATTCCATGGTATATACGTGCCACATTTTCTCTATCCAGCCTATCATTGATGGGCATTTGGGTTGGTTCCAAGTCTTTGCTATTGTAAATAGTGCTGCAATAAACATACGTGTG